TGGACAGGAAGACGTCTTGGTGTTGGACAGGAAGACGTCTTGGTGGTGGACAGGAAGACGTCTTTGTGGTAACTATGATTGAAACACGCAGCTTAAGCTGATTAACGGCAGCAGAACTTGGTTTCTGTGACGCTGCCGGAGGTTTAGGTGGTAAATAACTGCAGGAACATTTTACAGGTTTCAGAGGAGTTATCAAGACGGTTCAGAACAGAGCTGCTGTTGGAGCCATAGACTGTGAGTTACTCACAATAACGTTTCAGAAAAATGTTGCCTTTTCAGCCTTAACAACGTCCTGATACCTGCACTCTCTCATAATAAATAACACATGAACTCGTCAGAACTCTGCTCCTGGGACCTGAACACCTTTGTAACATCACGAGCGCTGCAGCATGGCCACACTGACAGGAGCTCCTCTTCGACTCAATCTTTTTTGTTCCTACTGTTCTGGTTGTAACCTTTTCTCTTTGCCTACACTGCACACCCACGCTACAGGTATGACCGCGACACACTTGTGGAGTTTTGTGTGTCGCTGCTTTGCCATCCTGCCATCGTGGTTCAGTTCCCGGCCCCCCTCCAGCTTCGCGCTCAGGCTCTGGCCTGTCATGGCGGCTGTCTCCATGATCCTCCATCTGCCTGCACGGACTGGACTCTCCAGACCTGTTCGGCTCCGCGGAGAAACCTTGGATGTTCTCTGTCTGCTGGACCCGGTTCTGGACTGTGGTCTGTGAGGACAGCTGCTGAGGTCCTTACTACCATCAAGCTGCTGACCGGACCTGCTAACAAGACCACACCGCCAACAGAACAGAACCATGGTGCTGAAAGAACCTCACTGCTAACAGAACCACACTGTCGATGTTTTTCTTTTTCAACTTGGTACTGTGTTTTTTATTATTTTAGTAGTATTTTTTTAATATGTTTTTTATTATTCTTAATAGTATTTTTAGTATGTTTTTTGTATTTTTGCTGCATGCTTTGGTATTTCTTCTTGGGTTTTTTTGTTTGTTTGTTTTTGGCGAGTCGAGACGGTTCTTCTCATCCTAAGCATTTTGTTGTATTGTTGACCTTGTTGATTTTACATATAACAAATAAACCAAACCTGCCTACCTTGCTCTGAAGCTGTCCACTTTCATTTCTTTAAGGGATTTTAAACTTTTGATGTCATTAGAAAATTGAAGCAAATATGTTCTTGTTTTTAGTATTTTATCTTGTTTTATATGGCACCTTGGTTTGATTGTTATAACACTATTTTTTATTTTAATTGCTTTATATTGTTGTTTATTGTTGTCTGTACTTTTTATGTTGGCTGTTTAAAACAGGCCTCTCCTGTAAATGAGTCCTTGTGGCTCATTGAGACTAAGTGTATAAATAAAGGTTGAATGAAAAATAAAAATAAAAAAACATGCAGTTTCTCCATTTTCCACTTGCGTTCAGCTTCCTACGCTCTGGCAGAACAAGTGATGTCATGTATCCACAGTTCAGACTGTGGTATGGGTCACAGCATCAAACACTTACTGTACAAGTCACAAATAACTTTCTCAGTGTTAAAACACTGAAAACATGTTGGAAACAAAAGAAAACTGAATAATAAACACAGCTGAAGTAATCCAGACCAGTAAACTGTGGTCAACAGGAAGCGCTGCACCAAATGTACCTCCCATAAGAAAACAATCAGATTACATTTAATCGAAGCTGTGGCTCTCAGATCTTTTAAAACAACCATCTTGATGTTTGTCAGAATCCTGCCTGAGTAGATCTGCCTCCTACCTGCCATGTCTGTGGCGAAGGGTCGATCAGGTCTCCAGCCGGTGTACCAGCCTACCACTTTACCCCCCGACACAAGGGGGCGCTCATATGCTCGGCCGCCCACAAATCCCACAGGCCAAACAGAAACCCTGCGAGTGCTGCGCATCTGTGAAGACAAGAAGATAAACCTGGATTAGTTCTTCTGGCAACAGATTTAATAATCCAGATCTTTAGAAACATCACGAGAACACTCTGCTCCTGTCCACCTGTCCCACCATTGTGGGATGGTGAGGAGGACCCTCTCTGTCTACTGGTCCAGGATGAACTTTTTATTAAAGGTGACATGTCTCCGGGTGAGAGCCCACCTAAAGGGAACATCAAACCCCTCAGAGCTAGAAACTAGCAGAGAATGTCACGGGGACTTGGATGGAAACTGACCGAGTCTCTGACAGACGCTGATGGATTGAAACTCTGACAGAGATCCTGACATGAACTGATTTGGATCTCAGCCTGTTCGGCCATCTTTATTTTCATGTGAAACAGTCCCAGCATGTGACAGAATAAGAGCAAATGAAGCACAGAGCTGCTTCCTGTTCTCACAGGGAATGAATCTGCAGCCAGAGGCAAAATGAAATGAAACGAGACAGAGAAGAAGATAAAATACTGGAAATAGGAAGGGGGGGGGGGGGGGGGGAGAGGACAATCCTTGTTCTGAATGTAAGACAAATCTGTATCTGTGCTTCTGCATGGGTGGCTTCAGTGTTCCTGTGTTCAGAGACATCTCTCAGAGTCCCGGCGTGTCTCTAACATCAACAGAACCGAACCAGAAAGCAGCGCTGACTGTAAGTATGAACGTGGACAGGACTTCCAGCTCAGAGCAAACGATCGCACCAGAAGAGACGTGCAAAGAACAGCTGGGTGATTAAATGACCCTTTAGGTGGGGGAGGGGGTTCACTGATCACAACAGATTTAATTGTTTTTTAAATTTATTTTAATAAACGGGAGCAAAATGGGGTGGCGCAGACGTTGGAGAAGGTGGGCTTGTGATCGGAAGGTTGCCGGTTCAATTCCCCGGACCGAAAACATGAAAATGTGGGCGAGAAAGGTGAAACACCCACACCTGCCTCCACCCTCATTTGCCCCACTCTGGGCCCTTGAGCAAGGCCCTTAACCCCCACCATCTGCTCCCCTGGGTGCCCCAGATAGCAGCTCCCTGCTCCACACAGAGGGCTGTGGTTGTGTCAGGAAGGACATCCAACCTTCTGGTCTTCAACGACGTAACTGCTGAGCTTCGTTACAAGTTAATGGAAACACTTCACTACAGTCCAGACACTGACTCTGCTGTCAAACCTTTGTTTCCAGGTGAAAAACAAAAGTTATTTTTCATTAGAGGATTAACAATTTCAAATACAACAAACTTAATTCTGTTTATTTTCAGGCTTGTTAATTTATTTGGGTGATAAAGTGAATACAAAAATGAAGTTTTCTCAAAGTTGCTTACAATAACATACTCAGGCTCTGTTGGGATATTCACACCTTGACCTTCAGATATTCACACCTTGACCTTCAGAT